GGGGGGTTGACTAACGGTGTATTGTCTTTCGCATCAACTCATCCCCAGTGAGCAGGGTGAAGTCTATTCCAATCTAACAAATGAAGGGGAGTAACGAGCTGGAAACCTATGTGTACAATCAAACACAGACCTGAGATCTGACTACTGGTTAGGTCTTTTAGTTACAATTATAGTCATGAAAAGCATAATTTGTAAGCGCAAATTCCATCTCTACAACAGCAAACTCTGTGTGCTTTACAAACTATATATGCACACGAGGACACTGAAGAGGCCACCCTAAGGAATCTAAACAATAGTTATTACACAAGTTATAAGAAAGAAAAAGTGAAACCCTGTGCTCAAACTCTCTTCTTTGAATTAGAGGTATTTTCTGAAACCAGAGATCAGAAGTCTGAGGATACATCTAACCAAGAAGTTGATTATAACAATTTTTTTCTTTGGGGGAGGGGGGGGGAGGGGGGAGTAACGGAGAAGGTTAACAGGGGAGTAGTAGCCCATGATGGAACAGAAGCCCGAATAGAATCATCCAGGGACGTAAAAAGTGATAAAAATTAACACCTGGAGAGACTGATAAGACGAATTTAAATTCCTGTATGTGGTTGAATGATGCATTTGATGTAAATGTACATTTTGTCAGTTTTACTTCTCCTTTCATATTGAATTTTAATGAGAGTAATATATATGATTTAAATTTGTTTTATGTATACCTGCATGTGTTTTTACGGTCCTGTACAGCCAAGGAAAATTTCCCTCTGGGATAATAAAGTACTATCTTATCTTATCTTATCTTATCTTATAAGACGACCAGAAAATGACATGAATAGAGAACAGAATGAGGACAAATATGCGCACCACCAAAAGCAAACAAAAATTATATAAAAAGCATGGAGCAGAATATAAATCAGAAAAATGCTAGTTTGATTAACAGAGCACCTGATGGTTTACTGAAATAAACAAGAATAGTAAACCATAAAATATATAACCTGCATGGGTTCAAGGGTCCTTGAGTAGACAATAGAATGTAGCAGGTCTTAAGTATGCAAGAATTGTGAAGGCTATGTATACAATATTTTCACTAGAAATTCAGTACTTTGAACCCTTGTTTTTAAAAAGAAAAAAAAATTGAACCTTTTTTATTTCAAAATACAGGCTACTTGCCTAATGCGAATACGACCTTCAACAATTCCTTCTTATCTCGTCTTGAAAATCGAAAGATGAAACAAGGGAGAAGACTGGGATATTAAGGCATGACAATCCGAACTTCCATCGAGTATACTAATAATTATTTCCCCTACATCGTAGGCCGACATGCCTCTTTTTATACTGTCCACAATTCTTACAGGTTATTTAATGGGGAAATGCAGTATCATTAAAAGAATTGCGGATATGCTGGGCTTTTTAAAAGAATTTCACAAATTTTGTTTTCATCAAATTCCTTACGAAAAATGAAAAGAGCCTGCAATTAAACAGAACTGAAGTTATAAGTGGTTAATTTTACAAATTCTACCAGCTGAAGAATTATAGATTCACACTTACGAAATGACACATCAGTTAGCATAAAATTTATGAAATCTTTAAACACATCATATTAACTCAGCTTATAAAATTGATTTTCTCACGATTTCCGTTTTCTTATATTGCCCGTTTTTCCCCGTGGACTCCTCATATTTATTGGACCTTGGATCCTGACTCTTCTCTTAGTAACACCGAAATTCTCAGTGTTGAATGACTGAATCACTTAATGAAAGATCGTGCAGCAGCTTTCTTATGGTAGGACAAATTAACCATAGTGAAATACGTTTCTCCGGGAATTTTTTTTTTATTCTGTAAACAGAAGTTGATTTTTTTTTAAGTTTCAAAATGTTGCTGTAATGAATTAGATACCACTAAACATTTACTAAGATCAATTAAAGACAATGGCTATAACAACATACACCTTATTCCCTCTGCAGGCCATGGGTACAGCTGGTAACCCAATGTTGACCCCTCCCGTGTCACCCATAGTGCCCAATCCCATCAACCCCCGCGCGAGTGTCATCAGCCAGGGACCAATTGCTGCTTTCTCCTCCACGTCACAGTCTCTGCCACTGGGAAGTTCATTTCCTTATTTGGGTGAGTATTAACAGTGACGTTCTGTTACCCTCATAAAATCACTATCGACACATTGTGTATCGAGCGTCATTATAAGCACTGTAAGATTATGTAGGAACCAAGACCGAATTTAACTTACATCGTCGATAGGAAAGCTTTTATAAACCTCTGAATAACCCAAGTTTAAGAAGGCTCCATTGAGGAGTCCCACCAGGGTCACCCGTATCGAACCTTCGGCATGTCCGCTCTGACTGTGAAATGAAGTACCATAAGTTTCTAAAATAGTGGAAAAGGTCGATAATGGACCTTAATTCGACGGTAAATGCTCTCCTCCTCCCTCCCCCCCCCCCCAAAGCTGCAATTGTTGTAGCGTTTTGAGCTTGAGGCTCACTTTCTTTGTAGATCTGATGTCTCTGCTTTGGACAAGATTTCAAGTCTAACAGGGACTTTGTTAGTGAAAGTCAAAAAGAACGTAAGGTGAATCCATCGGTACAGATCTACATAGAGGCAACTGGTCATTACGCTAGCACCCCGACTGCAAACCAGCGTCTGTGGTGTGAGGCTATGGCACTCCGGCGACGCACACAGAAGATCTAAGTTTCATTAGAACAACCCCACCCTTACACCCACCCCCACCCCTACCCCCCAAAAAAAGAAAAGAAAAAATGGGGGAAAAATATCCTCCATTTTGGTCAAAGTCATTTTAAGAATAAATAAATAAAGGAATGTCTCTAATTCCTAAGCACACAGTCCCTACTGCAGGACATTATTCTTTGAAAGAAGTAAGCACACCACAGAGGAAAAGAAGTAACCACAAAAGCCAGAGATGTTGACAGAATATGGAGGATTGCCACTCCAGTTATTCCAATTTATTCTTCGAAAGAGGTGCAAAGATTTGGGGGGGGGGGGCAGAAGACAGAGAGACAGAGACAGTGAGAGATGGGTAGAGAGATAGACACAACGACAGAGATAGGAAATGAGAAAAAGATATTCAATGCGGAAGCAAAAAGAGAGCTAATTTTTAAAAGAGTAATATAAGCTTATTCACTGTAATTGTTTACGTATATCCATTATATCAATTGAGCCAACGATCAAGATGACGCTACACCCACTTAGAAAAACAAAATGATGATAGCGAATAAACAATTATAATGTGTTATAAACCTGTCAAGCAGCTTGTTCAGCGTAAAAGACTAATGAACCTATGCGCCATAAAAAATCTATTTACACTTAAAGTAGGTTCACTCTGAAGTACGGTTTGCAGCCCTTTTCAAAGCAGATCAGTGTAAAAGCAACAATCCAAAATCAGGTAAATCAACCATACACCCTTCATCTACAGGGGAAAAAATAATTTGAGAGTGATGTATATTTGTAATACCCCCCCCCCCCCCCCCCCCCCGAAAAAAAAATCCTATGAAATTACATATATTTTCTTTCGCTTCCCTGCCCCTGGGCTAGGGGGAAAACTTTTTTTAATCTTTCAAACTTTCGCCTGGCCCCCCCAGGGAGGGTCTTTCGCTCAAGTTACGTGCTTGTTCGTTGGCAGAAAGTTCACATGCAGCAATTGAGAGATGGACAAAGAGTGAAAATAATATTTCAAGTGCAAAACAGTGTGAAAGGCTAGAATTTCTTTACATACTTTGAAGTTTAGTTGCCACTGGTATGTTTGATAAGCTAACATCTTTTTCTGGGGGCTCGTGAGAAATAGTTTCCTAAAGTGTACCCCCCCCCCCCTTTTGTACCTTATAAGTGCACACACGAAGCTATAAACCCACTCACTTACAAACAATTGTTTTGTATCGGCGCCTGTGATGGGTGTATGTATTGGTCGATATAAATACAATTGTATCTGGTGTATTCGTCTTTCTGCTCTGATGGGCTCCATACAGCTATGATTGCCTCTGGCTGTCAGGGTCGAGGCAGTTCGCATCCTAATTGATTAAACTGTTTGATGAAGGCATACATTTACTTTTTCACACCGCAAATATTTTGTTTTTTCACTGATGAGTTACTGTTTTTAAATGTTCAAAATGGGGCAAAATCTTCGCTTCCAAATTGAAGGCACTGCTTTTAAATGTCCACAATGTATTTTCTATGCCAAATTTGGTTTCATTGGCCATAACAGAATCCACAAATCTTCTTATAATCCTTATTTCTTTTAATAAAATTGCTCTTCAAGAATTCTCCTCTCCAGACGTGTAAGTCATCGTCAGCCACTGACACACGAACTTTTTTATCCCTACAGGCCAACAAGGTAGCGATTACAACCTCCCACACTCCAGTCCGGGTACTGGATACGTCGGCAACTTCAGCTCAAACCTCTACAGCAGCGCCTTCCGCAGCCACAACCACAGTAACAGCAACATCAACACCACCATCTCCAACAACAGCAACAACAACGGCAACAGCAATATCAACAACGCCAACAACACCACCGCTAACATTGCGAGCAGCAGTAATCACGATCCTTCTCATTCAGCTGTTGTCAACTCCTCTTCGCCTATTCGCAGCAGTGTTAATAATAACAGTAATATCAACAACAATAACAGCAACAACAACAATAATAATACCAGCAGCAATAGCATCAACAGCAACAGCAATTCGTCTGCTGTAGGAAACCATGCGATGAACAACAGCACCAACGTCTACGCCCCCTACCCCTACCACCCCGGCAACTTCCTGTCTCACCATCATCACCACCACCACCATCACCCCGGAACGTTCACCGGAAGTTTGTATCATCAGACACCTTACGGCGCAAAAGCAGACGCCGAAAGCACTACGTCATTTCCGCATTACAGTGACAACCCACAATTCCCGAGTGACGTCACTGCCTACTTTGGGCCATTCTGCCCTGCGCCTTCTATGCAGCACGGATACGGACTCGGTGCCGCTAACAGCTCCATGGGCGGATTGGGAGGTTCTGTACCCGGTTCTTCTATTGGATCCGGTTCTACGGGATCCGGCAGTGCCTTCAATGTGGTGCACAACCAGCACTCGGCAGCTGCTTCTTTTGTGCAATCTCACTCCATTTACCAGGGCACAGGTGAGTCTGGAGGAAAGGGGTGGGTGGGATGAGGCCAGTTCTGGTTGGGGTGGGGGGAGGGGGGTTAGGAGGATGTCATTTCATGTGCGATTCATTGTAAGACTATACACTTTAAGGTTAAAAAGGAGTAAAAAGTGGCGAGCCCAGGGATGATGAATAGATGGCCATAAATCCGGGGCGTTGTATCTTGTTACTGCTGTTTCTGTCATCGTCGTCGTTGTTTTTATTGTTCTTTTGGTTGTTGTTACTGTTCTTGTTATTGTAGTTCTTGTTGTTCTTGCTTTTGTTGTTGCTGCTGTTGTTGTTGTTGTTGTTGTTGTTGTTGTTCTTCTTCTTCTTCTTCTTCTTCTTCTTCTTCTTCTTCTTCTTCTTCTTCTTCTTCTTCTTCTTCTTCTTCTTCTTCTTCTTCTTCTTCTTCCTCTTCTTCTTCTTCTTCTTCTTCTTCTTCTTCTTCTTCTTCTTCTTCTTCTTCTTCTTCTTCTTCTTCTTCTTCTTCTTCTTCTTTTGCTTATTATACGTGTTCCTATTCGTGGTCTTCTTGTTCTTGTTCTTCCTCTTCTTCTTGCTGCTACTACTACTTCTACAACTACTCCTACTACTACTACTACTACTACTACTACTACTACTACTACTACTACTACTACTACTACTACTACTACTGCTGCTGCTGCTGCTGCTGCTGCTGCTGCTACTGCTGCTACCACTACTACTACCACTACTACTTCTACTACTACTACAACAAAAACTACTGTCCCATTTTTTTAAAATGATCCTTACATCTACCACCACTTCCACCACCCACCCTCTCCCAAGACTACTTCTCCCCACCGACCTTCCCCCCGGCCCCCAAACCTCTGGTGGAGCACGTGCCAGTGATCCAGCAGCGGCTCCCAGTGGGCGCGTCGCACTACCACAACGAGGCCAGTGACCCCCTGAACCTGCTGGACAAATCGTACCGCGCCAAAGACACGCTCAGCATGTACGGCGCCGCCGTCACCAGCAAAGACGTCCCGGGACTGTACGGGGCTGTGGCCAGTAAAGACGTCGGAGGTCTGTACGGCGCCATGACCAACGGGGGGTCAGGATCGTGTCATAGCCCGCGGGCCATGGGTCATCACGGCATGGTGTCACACAGTAAGTACCCCTCCAGCCTGCTCGCTCGCTCGCTCGCTCGCGCCAGGGGTGTTATGAGAGTGTAGTTGGCGAAGGGGTCTTTTTTTAGTTTTTCTTCTTTGTTTCTTTGTTTCTGTGTTTGTTGCTCTTGATGTTTGTTTTTTCTGAGGGAGTGCGTGTTTCCTGTGGGTTTGGGATTTTTTAATTTCTTTTTTCTTTTTCTTTTCTTTTTGTCTACTAATTTGTATGTTTATTTTTATTTTTTTAAATTGGGGGGTGGGGGAGATAAGTATGACCATTTAAGGAGGCAGACTGCTTCCACCCGGCCCTTCAAGGTCAACCTGGACTGAGAAGGAAACAGCATCGTATCAGAAAAACGCGGATACTCGATAAAACAACTTTTCCATATGAGATTCAAATTCACGTCTATGAACGTGAACGGCAAAGACCTCAACTGCCATGCCACCTATCCCAGTCTGTGTAAGAGCAAGGCTTCTTGCTTTTGAAGAAAAAAAAATGTGAGAGTGACTCCCCCGAGAGATGTTCGTGTGTAGTGTTTTACCAAGGGATGGGTTTCACTATTTCTTGGTGTATAACAGATCTGTCGGGTGGCTCCTAACCCAGGGATGGTAGTTGGGGCTGTGAGAAGATTTTGTGTGCGTATGTTTGTGTGTATGTGTGTGTGTGTGTGTGTGTGTGTGTGTGTGTGTGTGTGTGTGTGTGAGAGAGAGAGAGAGAGAGAGAGAGAGAGAGAGAGTATGTGTGTTTGTTTGTGTTTAGTGCTTGCCTTTATTAGAGAAAAGGAGTGCGGGGGAGAGACAGACAGACGTCTCAGACAGACAGACAGACCGACAGACAAGCAAACAGACAGACAGACAGACAAGACATTCACAGGGGGGAGAAGAGAAAGAAAGAAAGAGCAAGGAAAGCGTGAGAGTAAGAGAGTGGCAGAGAAGTGAAAGAAATTATATGGAATTTGAGATGCTGTAATATACTTGCTTTGACTTTGTACCAACAAATTCCGCAGCAAACACTGTTTTGTTTTTCCCTGTCAGTGCACCACCCCCATGGACCAGCCATGTCCCAGCTGACAGGCGAGGACTACCTGACCTCCATGGGACTGGGCATGTCCACCGTGCTGTCTGCTGACCCGGACATGATGGCTTCCTTCACGGACACCGGACCACTGCCGTCTATCAACTCCGTATTCCTGTCCTGAAATCCAACACAAGGATGAAAGTGAATAGTTTTTTAAATCCACCTTGTGCAATCTGGAGCTGACATATTAAGTCATTCCCGGGGTCAGCCGCAAACACTGGACGCTCTCTGGCCTGAGAGACCAATGTGATACGTTCGTGTCAACTGGCCGGCTAATAGTGTTACTGTAAAGTTTTGCTACACACTTCAGAAAGTAATACTATAAGCCAATCTAAAACGCGCGGGGGTAGTTGGAAGGCAGATACTACAACGGACAGACGACATAAAGTCATGAACAGCCGTCAGCCCAATCGTAGGAACAGTGCACCAGAGCGGCTGAATACTGTAATGAATGGCAGATCATTGTACGACAACCTCAGAGGTCTCCGAAGCAGACATGTCATTTTCAGCCAAGGTTGTTTGCAGCTTCCCTTGAGGGACGAATGCTTTGACACCTCAAAGGCGTCACTGTAGCGTGGATCTATCGCGAGGTCTTCTCGCTGCCCACAATAGCGCTCTCCCTTGAAAAGAAGATAATAGTTCATCTGTCAGTATTTGACGATGGCTATGCATCTGAACAGGAGAGAAAATAAGGATTAAGATGACATAATGTGGCATCTACTATGGCCAATGAGACCAGCTCTGACAAAGAAGAGTTTGCTACATTTTGAGCATTTAAAAGCTTCACTTCCACCTGACTTGTGGTAGTGTGCAGCTTGCAGGCTTCTCTCTTGGCTTCATAAAATTTGGTTGCATTTTTTAAGAGTACAGGCAAATAGCAATGTGGCAACAGCAACATCAGACCGGGGGGAGGGGACGGGGACAGAAGGAAAGGTCAAAGTCTATGTCTTCCCTCCATCCTCATCCCTCCCCACCATCCTCATCCTTAGTCTAGTTTTTGACATCGGAATCGACCTGAAATCCAAGGACAGAACAAAGGCAGCTCAGCAGAAGAGAAAGTAGGAGTACCTTAAAGTGTTCTTAAGACAGGAATCGAGTTCTATAACGGACTGCATATTTATTCAGCTACTGGCGTCCACAGCATTGGGTACGGAACTGGTCGGGAATCTAGATCAGCCAATGCACACGTATCAAAGCTGGTTTTTGGCTCTACGCCTATTATGTCCAATTAAGAACATATTTTTGAGTGGATTAAAGGCATGAAAATAGCAAACTTTCCGTTTCCAAGTACTCAAAAGCTATGGAAATCACCAAACTTTCGCTGCCATTTTCTTGACAATTTTAACTTTGAAACCACACAGCCCCACATTTTTCAATTACAAATATCTTGACTTCTATTAAAGATAGCTTTGTATTTTTTCATCCAACGATAGACAAATGAACAAGCATTACGGTGATATCAATAACTCTACAATCCCAAAAATTGACGAGCACCTGATTCCACCGCGTCATGACACATTTTTATTTGATTTTAGCCCGCTCTCCTCTCGTGAGATATTACATGCATTTAGTTCAAAGGGTGCGGATCCGAGCCAGGTGTGGGTTAAGGACACAACACGTTATATTGTGTGCAATTTGGATATTGTGGGAGTTCCGTCATGGAGCCCTTTATTCGTGAAATTGTACAGCCTTCATACCCCTTTAAAACGGTCTGTAAGGTTATTCAAAAGGCGGGACCTCCAAGTTTAACGTCCATCTCCGATAGGGCTTAACCAGATGTGTAGAGACCTTTAAAATATCCCCAAAACAAGCCATCGACACTATTCTTAACATTTAGGAGGCGGGCTTCTTTGGGCAGCCCGGGCTGAGAGGAATAGAACGTCCCAATAGAATGATGGAGATCCTAAATAAAACTCTCCCTGCACGAGAATAAAATCTGTATCTTCTGCGTGTGACGTCAAAGCACCTAACCGCTACACCACAGACGACTGTCGAATTTAGCAAAGCCAAATAAGAACTTATATGAACAGAAAAATCGTAGAGGGTGTGAAAATCAGCGGTTAGTTTAGATAGAGATATACAATTGCTACTCATGTTCACAAACATCCATTGCAAGACGTGGCATAAAGGTTTACGTTCTGCACCTTCCCGTGCAAACAATTGATTAGTTTCATGTCGCCTGAACTGCCAGACCCTTTTTGCAATATAAATCTTTAAAATATAGGACCTTAAAGTGTTTAAGACTACGATAAGCAGGAACAGGAGTGGCCAAAGGAAGACACACATTTTGATATTTTGGATATAATAATATTAATATATAAAGAAAGACGTTAATTTTGCAATGTTTTTTTTTTAACTCTCACATTTAGAAAACTGTTGCCAATAATGTTTTCCATTGATATTCTTCTGTTTACTTTATCACCTAGCAATTTCTGCAAGCTCGCTTACACATTTTGTCCCTCATGTCAATATGTATGAAGGAAACTTTCTGTCTATGCAATAGTACCTTCAGTTTCGCCATACTGGCAATAGAAGCAAACACTGTAAACTAGGAAATTCGCTTACTTTGTTGGAACTTCGAAATTTTAACAAGCCTGCCTGACTGAAAAAAAAACTGACAAAAAGATGTTTGTTCTTTATGCCACTGCTGTCTTTGCTCTTGTTGTGTACAGCTTTTTTTGCTTAATTTTCTTAATGCTCTCTCTCTCTCTCTCTCTCTCTCTCTCTCTCTCTCTCTCTCTCTCTCTCTCCCTCTCTCTTTCTCTCTCTCTCTCTCTCTCTCTCTCTCTCTCTCTCTCACAATATATCTATCTATCTATCGATCTATCTATCTATCTATCTATCTATCTATCTATCTATCTATTTATCTATCTATCAATCTATCTATCTCTATCTATCTCTATCTCTCTCTTTCTCTCTCTTTCTCTCTCTCTATATCTCAATCATTGTGTATGTTTTTGTGTGTTTACATACTTACTTATCTCTTCCTTTGTGCAATCAGAGCCGTTGTACCCTGCAATCATGCAGCAGCAATCATGCTTCAACTGTTCTTACTTCATATCGGCTGTCATAAAACTCAATATTGTCCCAAGCTATACAAAAGAAATTCCGAATTGGGATATTTAACGACAAAGAGACACAATAAAGTTCAGTTTGAAGGTAGCGCGAACAATTCACCACTATGACGTCGTAGTGATGATATTTGAGAAAGGGAAAAAAATTCGGACCCCACTCAGACATTAACCTGCAAGTTCCATCATGTGACATTTTGATATGAAATAAGGACAGTATGCACTCATCAGCATTTGATGTAAAATTTGAATGCACTATTCATAACAACACAATCGCATTCACACAAACACAAACACAAACACAAAAACACACACACACACATACACACACAAACAAACTAACAAACACGCACGCACGCGCACACACACATACACACTCACACACACACGCACACACACACACACATACATACACGCATGCACCCAGGCAGGTATACGTGGCACAGACGTATCCACCCTGTTTCATTTAATTTCTATCTATCTATCTATCTATCTATCTATCTATCTATCTATCTATCTATCTATCTATCTATCTATCTATCTATCTATCTATCTATCTATCTATCAAACTGTTTATAGCGAGAGTCGAGGGCTGGAGTTGAGTATTCTTCCATTAGGCGGCTGTTCTGACCGTTAGCTTGGCAATCCACAAGCAGACTGAAAATGTAGTGGCAGTTAATGGATATTGTTTACCTCATTGGTTTATATGAGTGCTTGCGTGTGTTTGTGTGTGTGTGTGTGTGTGTGTGTGTGTGTGTGTGTGTGTGTGTGTGTGTGTGTGTGTGTGTTGTGTGTGTGTGTGTTGTGTGTGTGTTTATGTGTATGTTTGAGTGTGTGAGTGAGTGTGTATGTGTGCGTCAAGGTTTGGGGAGGGCGGGGGGTATGTGTATAATAATATGTTCGTACAAGAACCCTTTTGTGCGTTGACGTGCGTGTGTTCGTATGTGTTTGTGTTCGCGTGTATGTGTGTCTGTTTCTGTCAGAATAATTGGGAGAGACAAAGAATTTAAAGTGAAATAAACATAGTGAACACTGATGAAGGTAACGGCAAAATAAAGTGCATGACAAACAAGGTGTTGATGTTGTTGTCGTCGTCGTCGTCATCGCTGTTGTTGTTGTTGTTGTTTATGTTGTTGTTGATGTTGCTGATGTTGTTGTAGTTATTGCTGTTGCTGTTGTTGCTTTTGTTGATGTTGTTGTTGTTGTTGTAAATGAGTTTTGGTTGTATATTGGGAGAGAAAGGGCCAGAGAGATGAATTCGTTTATTAGCACACAAGCCAGTTATTCTATAAAAACAATTATTGTTTTACTAGATCTAGCCAACTGCTCCAATGACACTGCTTTATAATTTATTATTTTTCTATTAATACAATTCTCGTCTGAATAATGAGAGTCGATTTCTGCATGGCTTAATTTAAGCCTACTTGTAACTATTGTGAGTAGATGGTATACTTATTTATTTGATCAATGTTCACAATATTATTATTATTATTATTATTATTTGATCAATGTTCACAATATTATTATTATTATTATTATTTTCCTCGGCCATGACTGGGGGTACCTGAAATTTTACATTTGTTGCTTGCAATCTCCGATTTTGGTAGGCAATACGGATAATAATATGTAGAGCGAAGTACTTGTTCTTGTACCAGGATACTTAATCTTGTTGTCCTTTTAGCAATGCTGAAAGGTAAAAAAATTTAAATAAAAGTCAGCAATACGATGCACATTACGTGTTGCTCGGTGTTATTGTTACTCTTTGGTTTGAAAGTTCGTTGACTTTGTCGGATAAACGATGTGGTTTACTTCTCGACATTGTCACAGAGAAAGTTGTGTTCGTTCGCTT